TGTCCCGCTGTCGAAGTATATTAAAGTGTACTGTGATCGTCTTAATGTGCATTATTCGCGCAATTGCACAACGTTTGTGTTAATCGAATGGTTGCCACGTCAGGAACGTTTTGGAGAGGTTCAGTGGTTTTCTGCAGGTTTCTATACTACATCTTATCAGTTGAGCCTAACCATGGTGTTTGAACATCTGCTTATCTTCCGGTCTTAGCTTTGAGCTTGCTTGCATTTGTTTGAGAAATAATCTGTCATATACGCAATTCTTTCTCGTGCTAATCCTGTTATTTGTTCCGTTTTTGCTTGTCCTTTCCAATTAATGTTTATCCTTTACATAGTTTTACATAGTTTTCCAGGTGTCGGGCACTCTTCGTCTCGTTCCGGTGCGACTACGGTTTCACTGATTTGGATATCTTTTCTCGCGAACGATGTCTGAATCGCAGAGTCGAGCCGACAAGCTGGCGATAGCAAAGAAAAAGGTTATTCATTTGTATTGTAATATAACTTGCATGAAATCAATACAATAAAATCTTATTAAGCATGAGCTGGGATCATTGTTTCTCCTTCATCCTCACACTATCACAATAGAGTAGCAAAGTAGTAGGAGTGAGGTCTAAGAACATGTATAACTTCCTTTTCAACATTTTTTGAAGTGAATCACTTACAAACTTAAATATTGTTTCTGAAGAGAGTACTTTTGCTCTAGAGCAGCAGACAGTTAAAAGCATTGCGCACAAGTTACTTTTTGGGTACACATTTTCTGGATTTGCTCATTTGAAAAACTATTTTTGAAACGATTCAGAAGAGGAGAAACTTCGTAAAGCAACTGCCATTTGATCAATGCTAAATAAAATTTATCTAATTTCGGTTAGAATTTTCTCATTTCTCTTTGGATTCGCGTATATTTTAAGCTCCAAATTTCACAGCCTCGCAGGAAAAACAAATTTGAATTTAAAGATGCTGTTTTTCAATTTGTTTCGTTTGTTCTCCAGTTTATCTATTTCTTATTCTTTGAGCTTCTTAGCTAATTCGCTTGCAATAAATGCGATCACATTTTTGCGTAGTTAAATTCCATTTCCTAGATTGATGTTTTCCAGCTTAAAGAGTTTGAAGCTCGACGACATCGTGAATCTGACTCATCGCCTGTTCCAAGCGTTGCATCCACCACGGAGCACAATGTGAACAATGGACGCCTATCCGTAAATAGCAATCACTCGCACAGTGGTGAGTATCAGTTTAAGCATAATCTCAGTACTATATTTTTAAAACAATAATTCGGTAAATAGTTTACGATGCCCTCTCAAATGTTTTTTTTTGTTTTTTTTTTTCAACAGTGAGAATTATATTATGCTGATCTAGCCTATTATCTCTTAATAATTTCGAGCAGTATAGTATTTGCTTTCTACCCAAACCCGTCTGCTCAAAACTGCTTTTTCTCAAAGAATATCTATTTTTATCGCGTTTTTATTATCTTAGTTGAATTTTCAGCTAATAACCATGAACATAATATGTACACACCGAGTTCAGTAGAAAATGGCAC